GTCTCGTCAAGTTGCCCAGGCGGGTCTCAAACCCGCAGGCTCAGGCAATCCACTCACCTCGGCCTCCCAAAGTGCTGAGCCACCAAGCCCGGCCTGGAAAGCTGCAGTTTAAACAAGTTGCCAGGAGTTTCTGGTACACAAGGCCCGCGGGCCACACTCTGAGAAACCCTGGAAGCCTGGCTCAGGGACCGAGAAGGCTCATCCTCAGGTTCCTGCAACCGCTACGGGCCCCTGGGAGCTAATGTCAGCCTCAGCCTGATCAGGGCAGGAAGAGGACAAGGGGACAATGACCACAATTAAACACTTCTCTGACTTGTATGGTCCCAAACAGCAGCAGGAGCTCAGAACTCGGGCTCCTGGCTCCTGGGCCAGGACTCCCCCGCCCCACCCCCAGCACCCCAGGGCCCCTCACCTGCATGCATACACCTCCTGCGGGGGCTGGGTGTTGGGGGTCATGATCCAGGGGGCCACGCGGAAGACAACACTGTCTTGGAAAACCAGGATCTCGGGGAGCTCCTGTGGGGAGGAGAGGGGAGGAACCGTCACAGCAGCCAGGACCCAGCACTCACCACTTCTGGCAGTGGGCCAGAGCCCCCCTGCCCGGCTGGGCTCTACACCCCCTCCCCAACCAGACCCCCTACGCTGGGCTGCCTTCCTGGCCTACCAGGTTGGACGTGTCCAGCAGGGAGACAGTGAGGGTGATGAGCCCTGGGAAGTTGGCGTCCGGGAAGGTGAGACCCTCCACATAGAAGTTCACTTTGTGCTGGCCACCAGGGAGCTTCAGGGGGTGAGAGGGCTGCTGGGGCCCCAGGACGGCCTTGTACTTGGAGGTCCGCTTGCCCCCTAGGAGGGAGGCGGGGAGGCTCAGGTCTGCGTTCCCACCTCCGAAGACCTTTTGTCCCCAGCGCTGGGATGTCTTTCCCAGGGTTACCACGTGTCACCATCCAAGGACCCTTCGCAGCCAAGTCTGCCAGAGCCTCCCCTGGGGAGAAAGGACCAAAGCCCCAGCTGGGGCACTGCTCCCCTAGCAGGAAGCCCAAGAAGGGCGTGACGGGGTTGTCTGAGCCAATTTCCTAAAAATTTGGAAGTCCATAAACTTCCTATAAATGTTCATTCATTCATTCGTTCCTGAACATCTGTTCCAGCCAGATGTCAGCTGAGAGTTCGGGGCAGGGGAGCCAGGAGACAGAGTCACTGTCCTCCCATCATCACCCTCAGGGTCTGGTGGGTGAGCAGGCAGGAGCAAAGACCATCAAGATAACAGACAAAATAATGGAGCTGTGAAAGAAGAAAGCTCCGAAGGCTTCCCGGAGGAGGTGATGCCGAGACAGAGGCAAGTTGGTCTGTCATCAGACCAATGACGGTGTAATCACTTGAAGAACGGAAGTGAGTCTGATCAAGTCTGGCCTCTGCAAAAACTCCTCCCGCAGCCTCCACCATCTCCTTCCCTCCAGAAGCCAAAGCCACAGCTGCCCCTCCCCCTCCCCTTTCCCCCCTGCCCTCACCTGCCCCTCTAGCTCTTGCCCGTGCCACTCCAGCCCACACTGGCCTCCCTGCGTTCCTCTGAGCCACAGGCGCGAGCCCTCTCAGGGTCTTTGCTCTCGCTGTCCCCCTGCCTGGAATGCCCTTCCCCTGGGTGTCCCTCTGCTCCACCCACCCCTGACGGGGGACCCTTCCCTGACCATCCGCTCTCCACACCCCCCACTCCACCCCCCCATCCCCTTCCCTGCTGGATTCTGCCTCCCAGCATTTCACGCAAGTTGTTTCACCCATCACCTCTCCCAGGCACTTAGATGAAAGTGGCATGAGGGAGGGACCTGCCGCATTCAGGGCTCGTGCCCTGTGCCTAGAACCAAGCCAGGCAGCCATTCAGTAGCAGGTGCTCACGGGCTGCTGAGAAGTCGCTGATGTGATCGGCAGACATCACAGACAGGTGATTGCGTGTCACGTGCCATCAGCTTGCAATCAAAGCTCTCTGTAAATGAGAGAGTTGTGTGTGTGTGTGTGTGTGTGTGTGTGTGTGTGTGTGAGAGAGAGAGAGAGGAACAGAGAGAGAGGAAGACAGAGAGATAGACAGAAAAAGAAAGAGACAGAAACAGAGAGGAAAAAAAGAAAGAGACACAGAGAGACAGAGAAAGAAATAGAGAGAGACAGAGAAAGAAAGAGAAACAGAAAGAGAAACAGCGGTAGAGAAAGAGACAGAAAGAGAGACAGAGAGAGACAGTGAAAGAAAGAAATAGAAACAGAGAAAGAGAAATAGAGACAGAGACTCACAGACAGAGAGACAGAAAGACAGAGAGGGAGGGAAGAGGGAGAGAGAGGCACAGGCAACAGGAATGGAGCCCTCAGGAAGGAGCTTAGTCCCTTCCCGCTCACCCAGCAGATGCGACCTTGTGTGTCAGTTTTGTCTGTGTCCCCCATCCAGAAGGCAGTGCGCGAGATGTCACCCGTCTGCCCCTGCTGTGTCCCCTGTTGTCAGGACCCGGCGCACAGTGGGTGCTCAGGGGCCACTTGCCACATGGGTGCCAGCGGGTGCACCCGTGAGCCCCATGGGGCAGGCAGGGAACATGGACGGGGCAGCAGCCGTCAGGGGGCGGGCGGAGGGCGACTCACGTGCGGCCTGGAACACCCTCACTTTGTCCATCTCGGGTCTGGCCACGTGGAGCACCAGCCGGTGCCTGGTGAAGAAGTCTCGGGGAGTCTTGGTGCTCAGGGTCATCAGAGACATGTCCTGCAGATCTGGAATGAGAGGGGGGTGGCCTGAGACCCTGGTGGGTCTCCTTCGGTCCATCGGCTGAGGGGGCCACTTCCCACCCCCAGACCTCCCTTTCCACGGTGCCCGGTCTTTTTTCTGTATGCTGGTCCCAGCATTTTTTTTTTTTTTTGAGTTGGAGTCTCACTCCGTCGCCCAGGTTGGAATGCAGCGGCATTCCCACGGCCACTCCAGCGTCGACCTGTTGGGGTCAGGCAATCCTTCCGCTTCAGCCTTCCAAGTAGTCAGAACTACAGGTGCACACTACCACACCTGGCTAATTTTTTTTCTTTAATTGTAGAGATGAGATCTCGTCAAGTTTCCCAGGCTGTTCTCGAACCCGTGGACTCAGGCAATCCTCTCACCTTGGCCTCCCAAAGTGCTAGGATTACAGTCTTGAGCCACCACGCCCGGCCTGGACCCAGCATTTTTTTTTGAGTTGGAGCCTCACTCTGTCGCCCAGACTGGAGTGCAGTGGCCGCTCCCAGACACCGCAGCCTCGACCTGCTGGGCTCCGGCGATCCTTCCGCCTCAGCCTTCCGAGTAGCCGGAATCACAGGTGCGTGCTACCACGCCCGGCTGATTTTTTGATTTATTGTAGAGATGAGGTCTCGCTGCCCAGGCGGGTCTCGAACCCGCGGGCTCAGGCAATTCACTCACCTCAGCCTCCCAAAGGCGCGGGATTACAGGCTGAGCCACCAAGCCTGGCTGGACCCAGCATTTTACCGACGTTTTTCATTTTGTAAAGAGAGAAAATGAAGGCTTTGGCCTTGTCCCCCTGGGATGAGCCAAGGATGTCAGTTCAGCAAGGCAGGGACCACATTGTTCACTGTGGTACTCCCTGCAGCTGGAACCCAGAGAGCCGAGAACCCTTTAGAATAATGACCACCACAGGCGGGCATGCAGTGGCGATTTGTGCAGTGAATGAGGGAGAAGGTTTCTGCATGGGTCCTGAGCAGGGAGTGAATTCTGGACCAAAGTGAATCACAGCCAGGAAGGGGTCAGGAGTAAAGCCATGAAGCCAAGGTGTCTGACATGCAGATGGACAGTCCAGGTGTGAGGGGTCTGGGGTTAGCTTGGTCTGGGACCCGTTCGGGCCTGGGGAAGGGATTTCTGCAGTCAGTGCCTCTGTTTCCCCATTAGTAAGACAGTGGCAAGAGTGGAGCCCAGCCGGGCTCGGTGGCTCAGCCTGTAATCCCATGCCTTTGGGAGGTTGAGGTGAGTGGATCGCCTGAGCCCACGGGTTCGAGACCCGCCTGGGCAACTTGGCAAGACCTCATCTCTACAATGAGTCAAAAAATCAGCCGGGCGTGGTAGCGCTCGCCTGTAGTTCCAGCTACTCGGAAGGCTGAGGCGGAAGGATGGCTGGAGCCCAGCAGGTCGAGGCTGCGGTGTCCGGGAGCGGCCACTGCACTCCAGTCTGGGCGACAGAGTGAGGCTCCAACTCAAAAAAATAAAAAGAGTGGAGTCCACCAGAGGGCTGTGAGGATGGAGGGTGTGTCCACAAACCCATCATGGTGCCTGGCCCCAGAGTGCCTGCAAAGGCCACCTGTTTGTGCAGGCATTGGGTAGGGGCTGTCCCTTGGCCTCGGGCCAGGCCATCTGCAGGCAGCTTGAAGATGCATCCATTTCTAATCATTCCTGCAGCTCCCCTGAAATCCAACCCACCAGCCTCGGCCCTCAGTGACCTCCTCCCGTGCAGACGGGCCGCGTGTCTACCCTGGGCCTCCCCTCAGCAGCCCAGAGGAGTCTCCGCAGAGACCCTGCACCCTGACCTTGAGCCAATTACTTAACTTCCCCATGCCTCAGTTTCCCCATCTGTAAAGCATTGTGTTGAAGGAGCGAATGAGTTCATCACTCTGACGGGTTCAGAGCAGCGCCTGGCCTAGGAGAGGAGTCTCAGGGGATGCTCTGATGTGAGTCTGGGGCAAGCTGACATTTGGAATTATTTCAGGTGCCAGGTTTGCCCCAAGAGCAGAAGTTTGGCTTGGGCGGCAGGTCAGGGCCCGGACAATGGAGTCTTCAGGAGGCATCAGGGACTCAGCGTCCATCTCGGCACTCCTGACTGCTGTGTGACCTTGAGGATGTCACTTGCCCTCTCAGGACCTTTCTCCACTATTCCTCCATTAAAAATGGATATGCTAACAAGAACATGCTGCTTTCAATAACCCTGACTTCAGAGGGCCATTGCAAGGTTCAGTTTGTGCAGATAGAGGGGCTTTGTAAAAATAAAGCACCCTCTTCTAGAAATCACCATTTTTGAGTCAGGGTCTCACTCTGCCCAGGCTGCAGTGCAGTGGCATGATTAGGGCTCACTGCAGCCCTGGACTCCTGGGCTCAGGTGATCTCCTGCCTCAGCCTCCAGAGTAGCAAGGACTACAGGTGTGGGCCACCTCATCCAGCTCAATTTTGTTGTTGTTGTAGAGATGAGTTTTCGCTATGCTGCTCAGGCCCGACTCCAACTCCTGAGCTCAAGACATTCTTCTCACCTCGGCCTCCCAAAGTGCTGGGATTATAGGCGTGAGCCACCGCACTCGGCTACCAAAGGCTCTTTACCTTTGCTGTCAAACGCCTCTTCGTCCACACAGTCCACAGTGGAAGATTTGGGATTGTCTTTGTCACAGTTCACCAGCAGGATGGCGCCATGTCCTTGAGGGCCCCAGGTCCAGGTCCCCTGTGGACACCAGCAGACAAGGGGCACACTTAGGAATGCTGCGGATCCCCCAATTTCTGGGAGAAGCTGAACTTCCCCATCATCTCTTCCTCTCTTTCTCTCTTTTGGTAGAGATGGGATCTCTAAGTTGGCCAGGCTGGTCTCGAACTCCTGGCCTCAAGGGCTCCTCTCACCTCAGCCTCCCAAAGTGCTGGGATTACAGGCCTGGGCCCCCACGCTGGACCCCCCATTGTCTTATCAGCCTTATGCGGTGTACACATCTCACTCCCAAATCAAATTATTCTTTGGTCCCAAGAGTGGATTTTTGCCTTTGGCTCCAAATGCCACAACCAAATTTACCCAAAATGCGATTCATCCAATTTCTTAAAAAAAAAGGAGCCCGACGTTGTCAGCTTTTAAGAAATGTTGGCTTGACAAACCGATGGAGCTAAGTATGAGTGTTAAGATCCTAATCTAAGTAGTTATTATTATGAGTTCCTAATGACTCATTCTCCAAAGTGCTATTCTTAGGCTGTCACTATCCGCCCAGGATTAAAGCCAGTTAGGCGCCCAGCCCACAGGGATCTCACCGGTGACACCTGTGTGTGGGAGAGCGTTTGCCCCCAAGGCTGCACTTGGGGAGGGACGTAGGGATGCCTTCTACTCCCGGAGTTGTAATCCCCCCCATACACTTTGGATGGACTTCCCAAGGGGTCTCAATCTTTTTACAGGTCGCGGTCCCCAGGGCACACCAGCGTGAAAAGGCACAGGCTGCTTTGGGGTTCCAGGGACGCCCCGAAGTTCGCCCATGGACCCTCCACACATCCCACCTCCCTGCCTTTCCAACACACTTTTTCCGCCCCCACCTGACTCCCTCCTGCCCCCCCTTCCCGCTCCCCTCCCTGCCTGGGCCATTTCCTTGCCTGTTACTCTTCCAGGTGGGCGGCCCCATGAGAATCCCTCCCCGGGTGGTAAAGCCTCGGTTTTAGGGCATTTGGGAGCCAGAGCCCAGCGCGGCCTACACATTTCTTCTCTGAGAGTATTAACTAGGGGACTCCAGAGTTTCCAGTATGTGGGACAACACATCCTCTGAGTCCACAGTTGGAGAAAATCTCCTCTTATAAAAGATGGGAAATAAGCCAGGCTCGGTGGCTCAGCCTGTCATCCCGCGCCTTTGGGAGGCTGAGGTGAGTGGATTGCCTGAGCCCGCGGGTTCGAGACCCGCCTGGGCAGCGAGACCTCATCTCTACAATAAATCAAACAACAAAAAAAATCAGCCGGGCGTGGTAGCGCACGCCTGTAATTCCGGCTACTCAGAAGGCTGAGGCGGAAGGATCGCCGGAGCCCAGCAGGTCGAGGCTGCGGTGGCCCGGAGCGGCCACTGCACTCTAGTCTGGGCGACAGAGTGAGACTCCAACTCAAAAAAAAGATGGGAAATATATAAAAGCCGAAATCTGACTTTCATGTTCTTTCTCGGTCTTTCTGAATTGCGTCTCTTTTTTTATAGTTCACGCGAATGCATGAGGTGGAGACGGACCGCGGTGTACCCCATGGCCACCAGGGGGTGCCCCAGGAGAGCCCCGCGGAACTGCCAGGAGGAGCATTTGGGCTGAAGGTCAAGGTTGAGCGGTACCTGATCTTTCACGGCTCTGGTGGGTTTCACATTGCCGGTGCGGGTGACGTCTGCATGCAGGGCGATTTCTGAAAACCCACCACGTGGGAGGAGAGGGTTGGTGAGGATTTGGGTGGGGACGCTCAGCCTGGTCCCGATGGGCGTGTCCTTTCCCCTAGGAGATGGCACCAAGGGTGGGGACCTCTCTCCCTCTCCTTCAGAAGAGACTCAACTTCAAGACACCCTCTCCCTGCCCCGTGTCCCCAGAGAAGTTTGGCTGAGTTCAGACAGCAGAGCTGGGGCTTCTGACCACACCTGCTCTCGTTGGGGGGTCAGGATGTGATGCCACCAGACCCTGCGTGTCTGGCCACCCCCAGGGTTTCGGAAAGAATTCCAGCCACCCCGATGGGAGGTTCGTTGGGACGCCCCCGAAAGGACCTTCTGCCAGGCTCTTGAAGGACTCTGGCCCCGGCCCAGCCCTCAGAGACCTCGGCATGGAGGACACAGCAGTCATGCCAGCCCACCTTCATTGCCTGTGTCATGATGCATCGGGGGAGAAATGGAGCCCCAAACACCCCCCCCATGACCGCCTGGCATGGTGGAGAAAGCATGTGTGTGTGGAAAGCCTTCCTCCCCCGCAGTCTGTAAGACCACACTGTCCTTCCAGTGACCTTCATGCCTCACAGAACAAAGAGTGACCCTTGTCCCACAGGAGCTTGGCCCAGATGCCCTTTTTAAAATTTATTTTCTTTTTTCTTTGAGTCAGCGTCTTGCTCTGTTGTCCAGGCTGAAGTGCAGAGGCACACTCCCGGCCACCACAGCCTCGACCTGCTGGACTCAGGCGATCCTTCCGCCTCAGCCTTCCAAGGAGCTGGAACCACAGGCGTGCGCCATCACACCCGGCTAATTTTTTGATTTATTGTAGAGATGAGGTCTTGCCAAGTTGCCCGGGTTGGTCTCAAACCCCTGGACTCAGGCAATCCTCTCACCTTCGCCTCCCAGAATGCTGGGATGACCGGCGTGCGCCACCACGCCCGGCTCCAACTGCCCTTTTAAACACATCCATAGCCACATGTTAGTGTAGGACCAGGACAGCACTGTCCCTCAGTGGCCTGGACTTCTCGGCTCTTTTCACTAACCAGTTGTGTGGCCTTGGGCAAGTCTGTTGGACCTCTTGTGCCTCTGTTTCCCCATCTGTAAAATGAGATGGTAATAGTACCAGTTTCCCTGGATTGTTGCAGGGTCTAAATATGCAGAATTAGGGCAGTGTCTGGCAACAGAATAAAGAGCTACGTTGTTATGACTTAAATGTGTATTCATGAAAAAGTGCAGTCATGTGATGAAACCTGAAGGCTTCACATGCTGTTTATAGATTCAGTTTAAATACATGTAAATAATCTCACGTTATTGTTCAAAAGGGGTCCAGTTAAACATGGATTTTATGGCCAGGTGCACTGGCTCACACCTGTCATCCCAGCACTCTGGGAGGCCGGGGCGAGAGGATTGCCAGAGTCCAGGGGTTTGAGACCAACCTGGGCAACTTGGTACAATCTCATCTCTACAATAAATCAAAAAATTAGCCGGGTAAGGTGGCGCGCACGTGTGGTTCCAACTACTTGGAAGGCTGAGGTGGAAGGATCGCCTGAACCCAACAGGTCAAGGCTGCGGTGGCCGTGAGCATGCCATTGCAGTCCAGCCTGGGTGACAGAATGAGACTTCGATTCAAAAAAAAAAAAAAGGAAGACTATTAAATAAATATGAGGATAGGTGGATCATTGCTATGGCAAGATGGTTAAGATAGCATATGCATAATGAAATTTAGGGAATGCTATCTTATTGTATAAGACAGTGTTATCTACTTTTTGTTATAAATATTTGAGGTGTCGACTGTGCGCGCTGTGACTCATGCCTATAATCTCAGCACTTTGGGAGGCTGAGGTAGGAGGATTACTTGAGCCCATGAGTTCTAGAGTGGGCAACATAGCCAGACACCATCTCTGCAAAAAATAAAAAAATTAGCCAGGTATGGTGGTGCGCACCTATAGTTCCCGCTACTCTGGAGGCTGAGGCAGGAGGGTTGCCTGAGCCCGGGAAGTTGATTATGTGGTGAGCGGGTTCGAGACCCGCCTGGGCAGGCGAGACCTCATCTCTACAATAAATAAAAAAATCAGCTGGGCGTGGTAGCGCACGCCTGTAATTCCGGCTACTCGGAAGGCTGAGACGGAAGGATCGCTGGAGCCCAGCAGGTTGAGGCTGCGGTGGTTGGGAGCGGCCACTGCACTGCAGTCTGGGCGACAGAGTAAGACTCCAATTCAAAAAAAAAAAAAAGAAAGAAAAGAAAATCCATGCACCCACTTCCTACCTTGAGAAATAAAATATCAAGACACAATTAGGCCGGGCTCGGTGGCTCAGCCTGTAATCCCACGCTTTGAGAGGCCGAGGTGAGTGGATTGCCTGAGCCTGCGGGTTTGAGACCCGCCTGGGCAACTTGGAGAGACCTTATCTCCACAATAAATCAAAAACTAGCTGGGCATGGTAGCGCTCGCCTGTAGTTCCAGCTACTCGGAAGGCTGAGGGGGAAGGATCGCCGGAGCCTAGCAGGTCGAGGCTGCGGTGGCCGGGAGCAGCCACTGCACTCCAGTCTGGGCAACAGAGTGAGACTCCAACTCAAAAAAAAAAAAAAAAAGACACAATTAAAGCTTCCTGCAACCCCTCCCCACCCCACCCATTGCATTTCTTTGTGGCTCACTGCCCAGGAAGGAAGATTTATGAAGTGCCAGATGTATGACTGGCTAGAAACTGTCCTTTTCCTCGGCTCAGTCTAAAATAAGCTCCAGGTGTGCTTTTTCCTGGAGAGACTCCCTGCGGGGATTGGGAGGGCGGAGCAGGTGGCACTTCAGAATCCCGGTCCGTCATCACTTACCCACCCCGGTGAGGTAGAGCAGAGCTTGCACCGGTGGGGTCTTGGGTCCATAGTATGAAATCCAAACCTACAGGAGAGCAGATCGCTAGTGTCTGCGTCATTCAACACACGCCACGGAACCCCTGCTGTGTGCCAGCTCAGGGTGGGACACTGGGGAGATGCCGAGATGGGCACGAACGGGTCCCAGCCTATCAGGAGCACCCCTGGCTGGAGGGGGCAGAGGGTTAGCAAATAGCTCTTGACTGGTGCGAGGAAGAGGGTCCCGTCCCATGGGAGCCTGGAGGTAGAGACATGCACTGCCTGGGGGAGGTGAGGGCTCGTGGAGGGGTCGCTTCGGAGCTGGTCTCGGAAGTGGAGGGGGGCACGGCAGCTGGAGAAGGGGTGGGAGGAGCATGGGAGGGAGAGAGCTGGTTACAAGCAGAGTGACCAAGGAAAGGGTGGAAGAACCAGACCTGGAGGGCCCCAGGCCTGCGGGGTCTGGGGCAGGAGCTTGGGGGGAGTGGAGGTCTCTCCTCAGAGCAGGGGCTCTTGGCAGGCACCATCCCCTTGGCCCAAGGTTCAAAATCCAGGGAGGACGTGCCTGACGCATCCAGCCTGGCCAGAGGAGGGGGAGCATCTAGGAGGATGGTTCGAGCAAGATGATGGCGGGAGTTCCCCAAAGCAGGACCATGGGGGGGGGATCAGGAGAAGGGGAGCTCCCCAGGGGACATCCTGCGGTGCCTGGACCTGCCTGTTGACTGTGGGGACCTGGGAGATGCCACCGCCATTGCTCCCTCTGGCTGGTCCCTTCCCTCCATCTACTCCCTGGATTCAGCCTACTTGGGACATGGTGGCCGGTGGGATCTAAGCAAATGTGGTCTTCTTGTTCCCTGGATGAAAACTTTCACTAGCTTCCTGTTGTCCTCAGAACATGAGCCCCTGGCCCCACAACCTTTATATGGCTCCCTGTCTCCCTCTCCACCTTCCTTTCCAGCCACACCGAGCTTCCTCGGTTTCCCCAATATGTGTCTTGCCCTGTTCTCATCCTGAGTTTGCACACAGGCCACCGCATCCAGGCAGCACCCTCACTCCTCTCTCCCTCTCTTAGGTAGGCCATTCATGCCATCCTTCAGCTTGCTACTTCTTCCAAGAAGTCCTCCCTGACTCCCTCTGCCTGGATTCTCAAGGTCTGTCTTCCTCCCAGGGAGGAGGTTGTTTGGTCTGTTTCTTTGGGAACAAGTTCGCTGTTGGCCCAGCTATCTGTGGGAACCCCAGAGGGTCCTGTTGAGTCCATCCACAGTCAAAGGGGATACAGTGGATTAAATGGTGGTCCATGTTCTTATCCCTGGAACCCGTGAATGTGGTCTTATTTGGAAAAAAGTCTTTGCAGATGTAAGTTAAGGATCTTGAGCTGAGGAGGTCATCCTGGGTTATCCTGGTAAGCCCTAACCAATGACAAGTGTCCTTATAAGAGAGGCGGAGAGAGATGCCACAGAGGAGGGGCGGAGGCAGTGTGACCTCAGAGGCAGAGACTGGCACTTCCTGGAATGCCAGCAGCCCCTGGAAGCTGGAAGAGGCAACAAAATGACTCTCCCCTCGAGCCTCCAGGGGAGTCTGGCCCTGCTGATCCCTGGGTCTCAAACTTCTGTCATCCAGAACTGCAAGATAATGTCTTTTGTTTTTTGGTTTTTGCTTTAATAGATCCTAGGTCTTGCTATTTTGCCCAGACTGGTCTCAAACTCCTGGGTTTAAGCAGTCCTCCCCCCTAGGCCTCCCAAAGTGCTGGGATTACAGGCTTGAGCCGTCACGCCCAGCCAAGAACTGTGAGAGAATGCACTTCTGTTGTCAGCAGCCACAGGAAACAGAGGCAGGGACGAGGCGGGGACGTGGCCGCGAGCCCCCCCTTTGCAATTGCTGCTTCCTGGGGTGCATTATTTGCTGTTCCCACACAGAGGCCTAGGCCCCATGAGGGCTGCAGACCCGTCTGTCTTATTCACTTCTATATTCCCAGCACTTGGCAGTGCCTGGCAGGTGTTAGGTGCTCGTGAAACATCTGCTGAGAGGATGGATTTCAGCAAAACCCCGGCCTCCTGTTGTGTCAAAGACACGCGGGCTGGAGGACACCACGACCAGCTCTCCCAGAGAGAGCAGGCTCGTGCTGTGGACCAAGACAGGGCGGGCTGTGGGCAGCTGCTGCCTGTGGATGTCCCTTCAGTGCCGGCCCCCGGCCGCGACACTCACCTTCTGGTCATCTGTGCTGCCGCTGGCGGCCTTCATTCTCAGGGTCACCTCCAGCCCGGGGTCCAGGGGCCACTTGGAGCACCCTGCGGAATTCTTCTTGGCTGGAGGGCTGTGGGTGACGTCCACGACCACTTCTGGTGAGGCATCGATGCTGAAGGACGTGTGGCCTTCGGGAGCCGAGCTGTGGAGGAGACGGTGGGAGACAGAGGATCGGTGAGGAGTGGCCCAGGGCTGTGCACACACAAAGAACTGTAGACTCCTGCTTCTCGAATTCTGGCACACCAGATACTCTGAGGGAGCTTCCTTTTATAAAACAGCTGGATCATGCATAGAATTTACTTACTTATGCATTTTTTTTTTTAATTTAAAGAGACAGGTTCTTACTCTGTTACGCAGGCTGGAGTGCCCAGAAGTTTGAGGTTGCTCTGATCCTCCTGCCTCAAACTTCTGAGTAGGTAGGATGACAGGCATGCACCACCATGTCCAGCTAGTGTCTTTTTTTTTTTTTTATAGAGTCGGGGGTCTCACTGTGTTGCCCAGGCTGGTCTTAAGCCCTTGTCTTCAAGCAATTCTCCTGTTTCAGCCTCCCAAAGCTCTGGGATTACAGGCATGAGCTACCATGCTCAGCCAAAGTATACTCATGAGAAATAAGATAAATCACCAAATGCTAGACTTCTCTGTGGGCAACACACACACATGCATGCACATGCACCTATGCAGTGGCTAAAGTGAAGAGCACCAAAGACAAAGAGAAGATCTTAAAGACATTCAGAAAGAAAAGTCAGATCACCTATAAAGGAATAATAATTAGATTGACTTGTTAACAGCAGCAATGAAATCCACAGGACAGTTGAGTAGTATCTTCATGGTATTTTGAGAGAATACAGGTGCCTTGAACAGCACAGGTTTGAACCGCATGGGTCCACTTACATGTAGACTTTCTTTCACTTCTGCCACCCCTGAGACAATAAGATCAACTCCTCTCTCTCTGCCTCCTCAGTTTACACAGCGTGAAGACAATGAGCCTTCATGGTGATCCACTTAATAAATGGTGAATCCATTTTCTCTTCCTTATTATTTTTCCTAATAATATTTTCTTTTCTCTAGCTTATTTTATTGTAATAATACTGTGCATAATACATAAAATATGCAAAATATATGTTAGTCAACTGTTTGTGTTATTGGCAGGCTGTGAGCAGTTGAGTTTTGGGGAGTCCAAGTTACATGTGGATTTTGACTCCTGGGGGACTGGTACCCCAACCCTCATGTTGTTCAAGGAACAGCTATTAACCTAGAATTGAGCACCCCCCACATAGCTTAATAAAAACATTTTCAGATGAACAAAAACTAATATTGTAAAATCAACAGAGCTGGGCTCAGTGGCTCAGCCTGTATTCCCGCGACTTTGGGAGGCTGAGGTGAGTGGATTGCCTGAGCCCGCGGGTTCGAGACCCGCCTGGGCAACGAGACCTCTTCTCTACAATAAATCAAAAAATCAGCTGGGCGTGGTAGCGCATGCCTGTAATTCCGGTTACTTGAAGGCTGAGGCGGAAGGATCGCCGGACCCCAGCAGGCGAGGCTGCGGTGGCCGGGAGCG